ATTCTCCAAGATCTTATCCGTGCTGCACTCAATGAGCCCATTTTGAGAAACTCACGCCTCGTCCCATCATTTCAATCCCAGCGGGCAGCCTTGTGGGGGTTTGAACAGCCGGTTCCGCTTCCTTAATTCTTCGATAAGCCAGGGCCAAGCCAGCTCCGATCAGCAAGAACCCTGTTATCATGGCATTTAACCCAGTATCACTGCGCTTGTATGCATATGTTTTCTACTTTGTACACCTAACATACAGTGCAATAGTATAGCATCAACTTAATTTCATAAGAGGAGTAGAGATTAAAGCTGTTAATATATATAAAAGTATATCCATCCATCCATTCACTTCCGCTTATCCTTTTCAGGGTCGCAGGGGGCGCTGGAGCCTATCCCAGCTGTCATAGGGCGAGAGGCGGGGTACACCCTGGACAGGTCGCCAGTCTGTCGCAGGGCCAACACACAGGGACAGACAACCATTCGCACTCACATTCACTCGCACCTTCACACCAATTTGGATTATCCAATTAACCTATCTCCACAAGCTGCATGTCTTTGGACGGTTGACATCTTACTTTGACCCAGAAATCAGTTCGGGCTAATAAAAATGAGAAATAAAAATTACTTTATCAAACTCATAAACAATCATGTAATAAAGTGAGCAGTGACCAACTGCCTTGTTATCAGCACCACAGTTCAAAAGTCAGCATGCATGTTCATATTGGAGGGGACAGAAGCAGATTAGTGCGTGTGTCTCAAGAAGGAAGTCACCTGGATTTTCAAATGTATACCATGTGCATCTACTAGGAGGCTGAGGGGTAGCACTGGCAGCATCAGTATTTTTTGCACTGCAGAAGCTGTAGTAGAATAGTTACTATTAAAATCAACATGGCTGTTTTTTTGTCATTTGGCAACACCTTTTTTTCTACATAAGATAAGATAAGATAAGATAAGATAACTCTTTATTGTCATTGCACAGTCATACATAGTACAGTAGTACAATGAAATTGGAAAAACTGTCCTACGTCGGCACTACATATAACACAACACGACACGATATGACACATCACAACGTAACAAACAACACAACACAGTATATTAACTTAGTATAAAAAAGAAGAATAAGTGTATGTGTATTGCACACTGTTATTATTGCACATTAATTATTATTGCACCTTGTTATAAATATAAATATTATTGTTATCGTTTTAAACATTGTTACCTCCCCCTAAAAAGTCCAGGGAGGTATCCAGTCAGGTCAGCTATTTACATTGATCAGGGCTATTGCCCTGTTGTAAAAGCTGTCCTTGAGTCTATTTGTTCGGGACCTCAGCAGCCTGAACCTCCTGCCAGACGGCAGCAGCTTAAACACCCGGTGTCCTGGGTGTGTGTCTACATGTGCTTCCCAGCTGTGCTTGTTCCTGAAGCAGAAGTTGTTCAGAGGTTACCACAGTGCCTGATGTTGTCTTTCCCAGTGTTAGACAACTCAGCGCATTTCTTAGACTGAACATCTCCAAGGTCCAATAAACCTGCAGAGTCCTGTTGAATTTTGGGATATTTTTTGTCTCATGGATGAATAAGAAGAATATATTGGAGGGGGTTTGGAGCTCCTCCTCCTCCTCTCATATCCGAATGGACAAAAGCTTTTCCCCTTTGGGTGTCAGGCCTATAATGTGGACATTAGCAGTGCAACAACTTTCACCATGCGGTTTCTGCCCCATTGTAGCTCCACAGGTGCGTTTTTATGTCTCTTACGGATAGATTACGTTTTAATGCAAGCACTGTGTTTGAATGAGTGTGAGTTCTTTTTTTTATTATGCCGTTTGTCATAAATGTATTTCTGTGACTTAGTTTATGTATTTTGTATGTATTTACACTCTGTGTTACTGCTATATAAATGTAAGTACTTACTTTAAATAATGCAACAAATGCAAGATTGTTTTAAATGGTTAAAATTAGGTTTTGAAAACTTAATTTCAACTAGATAGCAAGAGTTTTTGGATTTGGTTAAGACAGCTCGTGCTCAGAGTTACATATTTAACTATCATCAGACAGATCTGACCTTGTAGTATTTAAAATGTATTTTTTATGCATGTACGTACACAGTATTAGATTTTGTGAAGGATTAGAAATTTTAGGATCATAAATTTCTGTCTGTGTAGGTTTGTGCTCACAAATGTGTGTGACGGTAAAATTTAATAAGTTATGCTTGTAAAAAACTTTTTTTTTATATTCATGATAATATGGTAATAATAATAGCTGATTTATGTCAACCTGTGCACTTATAAAATGACGTTTCCTAAATTGTTTTGCTCTCATATCTTTTAGCATTTTGTTCTGCTTCACCTCCACAGCCATTTGAAATTTTCCATTGTTCAAGGCACAGAGGAACAGATGAACCAGCACCTAATGCAGCCCTTCCGTCAGTGCACAGAGAGAACAGACAATACCAGCCATATTACAGGGGCTGCTGCTCACACCGAGGGCTTAATTCAAGTAGAAAGATTTATGTTAACAGAGAGCAGCCATACTTCCCAGGCCTAAATGAAGTGTACTTCACTTTGCTGCCAGCCTTTTGGTTTTAAGTGACCTTTAAAGCTTTACCTGATGGATATAGATATGTGCTGTGAGCAGTTCAGTTAAACACTGATTTTTAGTCTAGGTATCTTAGAGAAGCACTCATAGAGCCCTTAGAAAACTTAAAGAAAGTGATTTGGATTTAAAATGTAACCAAAATTTATAATAATATGTAATATGAAGCTATAACTTGGTTAGCATGATATCTTAAAGGTGAAATTCATTGGTTCCCTCCAACAGAAACAATATATACACCACAGGTATATACGTACCTGTGCTTTGAGTGACTGATATCTCATTATGTAATTTCACAGGTATTTCTGTCTTGTTTTCAGATCAGTGGAGCACACACTGCTACGTGCTATGTTTGTTCCTCCTCATCAACTGCTTTGGAGCAGCTTCTCCCCTTTATGCTCCTCCCGCGCCAACAGGTCTCCTCTCTGCTTTCTCTGCCACGCAAACCAGTAGCGTGGTGGGAGGCAAGCAGAAGGCAGTGACCTTCAACAGGCTCGTGGTCAACATCGGACGGGATTTCAATCCAGACACTGGCCACTTCCGCTGTCGCATCCCCGGGGCTTACTATTTCTCCTTCTCTGTGGGGAAATTTCCCAAAAAAATGCTTTCTGTCATCCTGGTGAAGAACGGAGAGGAGGTGCAGGCTATAGCTTATGACGACTTCCGCAAGAAAGGGAGAAAAGTTCAGAGCCAAAGTCTTATGATCGGTTTGAAGAAAATGGACATAGTGTGGTTGCGCTTGCAGCCTAGCCCCCAGTATGCTTTGTACAGCAACGCTGGGCCTTACATCACCTTCTCAGGTTACCTGGTCTATCCTGATGCCATGGCAACCAGCTACATCAGCAACCACTTGTCTACACCTGCTCTACCCTACCCAAACTGTCCACCTCAGGTCAGAGGCCAGAGAGAGCAGCCGCGGTCTGCCTTCTCAGTAGCACGGACATCAACCCTCATGGGTCACAGCAGCTGGACACAAGAAAAGCCACCAATCACCTTTGATGTAGAATATGTCAACATAGGGGGCCATTTCAACAAAACCTCTGGCCGCTTCACCTGCCACTTCCCAGGGGTCTACTTCTTCGCCTTCACTGTGGGGAAACACCCTCGTAGGGCTGTTTCAGTGAAGCTGATGACCGGGAAGGGTGAGGTGCAGGCGATGGTGTTTGATGATGACACATCAAAGAGAAGGGAAATGCAGAGTCAGAGTTTGTTGCTGTCTCTCAGCAGGGGCGACAGCGTGTGGCTGTACAGTCAACAGGATGAGCGCTTTGCTGTTTACAGCAACCAGGGCAGGTACACCACGTTCTCAGGCTTCATGGTTTATCCAGATACAGAAACACCTGCCACCAGCCAGGAGGACAGAGGTCACCTATAAATGTCTTAAGGTTGTAGCTGTTTTTTGTTCCCAGCCTGCAGTTTATCTCCACGTCAATGAGTCAGGTAGAATATTTAAACTGTGGTCAGCATAGTTTAACAGATTCCTCTCTCTCTTTCTTTTTGTAACATTTTGTTTGTTTTTATTAAACAGTGTTATTCCAAAAGGTAACATTTGTTGCCACCAGATGGTGCTATGATACAGCTAAGTGCAATGTTCTCTTAGAAAATCTGTGATACAGTTTGGGTTTAGGTGCACAGATACAACTATCTGAGAATTTTCATTTTAAAAAAGTGAACATTGCATGACAAAAAAAAAACGTTGTAAATGATGTAAAGTTTATTCGAATTTATGTACTACAAAATGTAGACTTAGAGTTGCACCATGTTAAAGTTATTTAACTTTTATTTGTAGAAAGATCTGATTAAATGATTTGTGTGCATTTTGGGAAAATGATAAATAAATTTCCTTAAATGAGTTTTACATATGTTCTTTTTTTTTCTTCTAAATCAAACAAATGCTGGTTTGTGGATGAAAATAAACCTAAGATAAACCTAGAGATTAGACACGGGGCGATATTGGCTCAAGAGTTGGCATTTTGTCTTGTAATCGGAAGGTTGCCGGTTCGAGACCCGGCTCCGACAGTTTCCATCGTCGTGTCCTTCACCAAGACACTTGTGGTGGTGGTCAGAGGGCCCGGTTGCACCAGTGTCCGGCAGCCTCGCCTCTGTCATTGTGCCCCAGGGCAGCTGTGGCTACAATGTAGCTTGCCATCACCAGTGTGTGGATGACTGAATGTAGTGTATAGTGCTTTTGGGTCCTTAGGGATTAAGCCCTATACAAATACAGGCCATTTACCATTTAATTAAGGATTTTTATAACATATTATAACACGGGACTCAACATCTGATAAATCTCTTTCCAAACATGAATCCCTAAATGTTGCCATTTCTACTTAAGCTCTTAAAGCTTCTAATTCACAGCACCATTACCACCAGAAAGAGAAAAAGAGCCAAACATTTATCTTAAATAATCTTTATTGGCAATTAGAAAATTGGTTAAAACATGAAAAAAAAAAAAAATCCCTCAGTCACGGCCCTCTAATTGAGACGCCTTTGTTTGGCCAGATGGCTACCTACAGGCATAAATAAGGAATAAAAAGTCAATGTTTCTGGAAGATGTAAAAGTGAAAGATTATACAAATATGATCAAGCAGAAAAGGTGACAATGTTTTGTTTTTTTTTGGTTTTGCTTACTCTTTATTGAATAACTGCATCCCAGATGTTGTGACTAACTATTATAAAAACTATTTCCAGGTAAACCCTTTTTTTCTTGAAAATATTTATTCAGGCAGATCGTAGGATTCACCCATTATCACACTTAATCTAAGCCTTCCACTTCTTAGGAGCACACCGTGGCTTTCCAGTGTTTGTACTTGTTTGACTAATCAAAGTTTTGCATGATATACACAGTAAAAAAAAAAAAAAGGTTGGCCAAATCACAATATTTGAACAGGAGCCTCTTTGTCTGTGAATGGTTAAAAATAATAGAGTAATCCATGAGAAAGGCACAAGCAGCACTCTAAACCAATCACTACATGACTAATGCCAATGTCATGGCTTCACAACAGAGGCTGGGAAAGGACTGTATGTTTGAGCTATGATGTTGTCTTGTAAGTTAATGTCCACATTATCACCCCTGTGTTACCGCCTTCTTCTCTCATCCTGGCCCGTCACTGCACATCCCAGATCTCACAGAGCAGCGGGGTAAATTTGTGGTCATCCGTTCTCCAGGATGTGAGCATCTCCGCGTGGAAGTGGTTGAGCGTTCTCAGCTCTGTCAGACGGCCCAGGAGACGAGCGAAGTACTGCGGCTCCTGCGGATGCTGCAGGGCGCACAGCTTCCTCAGCACATCCAGCATGGGCTCCTGAAGTCTCTCAACAGCCTGCTGATCTTTGACATAAGGCCGATCTGGAGAGGAATAGAGTGGATAGTGATCATCATCTTCACAGAAATCAAAATTTGAATCAAATATTACTTTAGGAAACAATGCCGTCAATGCCGTTAACGCTATTTTTGGGGGGGCTCACCTGGTGTCAGGATGGTTACGGCAGTAAGGAGAGCTTGTTCCTCCTGTGCCATGTGGAGTTCGCTGATGCTTTTGTAAAAGTTGAATATGGGTGTAATGAAGTCTTGTGATATACCTGCAGAAAAAGAAAGCAACATATTTTTTTCTAATAAAATAGAAAGTTTTATATATAAAGTCAGTGAATAGTAAATAAACAAGTCCTCAAAGTAAGAAGCCATCTCTTAAGCTTTGGTTTAATTACTTAGAGTAATTCAATTTCTGTTGTTGTTGTTGTTCATGTTGTGGAAGAGCCAATAAACATGTTTATACTGACTGGAAGTGCTCTAAACACAGTAAACTGACCTTCCCAAATTAATAATAAAAAGTCTTTGATCTGCAGCTCTATGCAGACAATGTTAGTCTGTGCACTAACTTGATGGATAATAAAGGATTGTCGATGCTGCTGAAAGCTGGCGAGGTTTTATAGTTTTAAGATGCACAGAGACGGCCTGTTTTATGTAACAGCCTGTACTTTGACCAGGATAATCTATAACGTTGTATTATACTATTCATTTTATTTATTTAAAAGATGCTGTAAAGTTTTTCATGTAAAATACATTCAGTTTTAAGCTTTTACAGCTAATATGATCAAAGACTGGAGTCTCTCAAAGTTAAATCAAAAACACATATACAGGGTCTGAGGTGGATGTGCTCTGCTGCATTGTGGTGAGAAGAGTGGGGAGGAGGTGGATGAAGGTGTGAGAGAAGCGAGGCAAAGGAGAGAGCGAAGAAAGAGTTTTTTATGAGTGAATTGTATTCAGTATGTGAAGCCATCAGAAATTACGACACAATTATTTGCAGTTAATCATAGATCTTATCCTTATCCTAGCCCTGTGTCAGATTGGTGACCTGTCCACAGTGTGCCCCGCCTCTTGCCCTATGGTAGCTGGGATAGGCTCCAGCCTATATGAATAAACATATTTCATATACATATTTCAAACTACTCTCTATATTATTTAAAAGTTTTTGTTTAGTATGCTCTTGCACGTTGGCAGCATTTCCTGATATTAAAGCTCTTCAGCTAGCAGAGGGTGCCTGTCTGCTCGGGCACATTATCGAGCTTTCAGAAATGCCAGCGGGGCTCAGAGGGAGAGAAGTGGACAATAGCACTTCTGATGTTTTGATAAGAAACAATGGCCTCCTCAGACAGCTTTGACCACTTATTCTCCCAGACTGGCCTTTACTGTGAATATCTCTTATAGGCACTATTCACACCACAGCAGCACTGAGGGACCCAGTGATGCGCACACACGCCTGCCATCACTGCTGCTGTCTGTCTAACTGTCCAACCTGGTTGACATAATGACACCCCACATTAATATAAATGATTTTTTCTTTTAAAGGAGACAACACAGGGGACGTGAGCAAAAATCTATAGGTTTGGATTAAAACAGCAGAAGAAACTCATGCGCTGTAATAAATCAATCCCAGAAAAGCCCCTCTCCTTTAATCTGCAAGCATGGATGCACATGTAGCGCCGAACGGAGTGAAACAATAGCCAGTGAAGGTGTGTGCTCATGCGTAATCTATACCCAGCCAGAGATCAACAGGTCAGCATACGTAACCGACACAGATCAAATATTAATCAAGGACCTGAAAGACTTAGCTGCTTGGCTGCAGAAGACCAAGACTGCTGAAGGTCATGAAGCAAGAGCTGCACACATAAAAACCTGCATCTGCTATAACTGCTGAATATCTGCACCGACACATTTATAGGTGCTGCTGTAGACTCACCACTCTTCCGTATCCTCTCCTCTAAAAGTTGCGCGTATCCAGTGGGCATCTTTTTGCTGAAAACCTGAGCTGAGCGCAGATATGTGGCTTCCACAGCTGAACCCTTCAGCAGAGCAATCTGATCTTCGTGATCCAGAGACAGAAACCCTATGACAGTCATAACACTTGTCATTACAACAGGCAAGATACTGTGTTTTTACTTTACGTACTCTCCCAGCATCTGTCATGCCTCTGTCCATGACCTTAAGATAACACTGCAGTGTGCTCCACAGGATTGGTAAAAAGAAAAAAGAATTACCTGGAATACTTTTTGTAAACTCCACCAAAACTTGAACTTGACTTGTTGCCACTTCTGTCAGTAGAAGAAAGTTTTCATCTGCGCTGTACTGTTCTTGTAGCTTGAGGAAAAAACAGCGGGAAAAACAGATCAGAGGGAAGAGGGAGCAAACAGCAAAAACTCCACAAAGCAAACGAATAAAACAGTCTCGGCGGCATGTAGTCATGCAAACATTATTTCACCCAACAAGCTGGTGCTGCTTGTCTGATGTCTGTGCATACAGGTTTTATTTTCTTAGCTGCATTCCCAGCAGCCAGTTTTTATCAGCACTGTTCGCCTGGTTATTTAATATCAATATTTCTGTTTCGTACCAGCTTTTTAGCAAAATCTTGAGGAATCTGATGTTTGTTATAAGCATCCACGATGAGTTTCATGAGTGCCTGCTGCTCTTTGGTGAGTTCAACTTTTTCCTGGATTTAAAGAGAAAATCAAAAACAGCCCATCATTGACGTCTTCTGTGCCTGTTTGAGAGCATCAGCGAGCTCTGAGGACATCTGCAGATGTTGAGGTTACCTTTGACAGTCTGGTGGTGGAGGTGACCTGCTTGTTGTCGACATTCTCTGGCCCCTCCGTCTCATCCCCAGTCGACTGTCCTGGGGAGGCCTTGGTGTTCTTCCGCAGCCTTTTAGATTTACACTGGATCTCTGTCAGCAGGCCTGTCAGTAGCGACGAAGGATTCACTTTGCGTGTTAAATACCTTGCAGGTTTTTAATGCAGCGGCAGTGCTGAATGTTTATTTTCATCTATGATGGCTTTGGTCAAACTAATTACTATCTATGTGCAACAAGCAGGCAGATTACTGCAACTCTTGCTGTTTACTATTTTAACATCACATCATAATGTGAACTGCACTCTACTAAATGTGATTCCTTTTCTACCTTATTCCTTCCCCAAAACACTGCAACTGCCTCTACTTTAGATTTCTCTGATCAATTGCATAATAAGTTTACACTTAAGATAGTGCTGAGAAGAGAAGCGTTCTCAGTAACCATCTGTCTTCTCACATTTTGATCAAAAATCTAACTCACTAGTCTCTTGTTGAGGCAGCAGATAGAGAGTCGTGAATGACTTTCACCCTGCATTATTCATCACATCTTCTCTGTACTATTTATGAGCAACAGGAGTCCAGCCTCTCATTCTTCTCTTTTCAGCTGACAGCTCTATAATAGACCCCAATAATCCTCCAATACCCAGTTTCAGAAAAGTGGGTGCTCCTATTTACAGATTTTGCCTTCAGTTTGAGGTAAGCTCAGCATTTGAAACTATAGAGACAACTGAGAAACATCAACTTAAGGCAAAAATCACTTTAGCAAATGTGTCATGTTCTTATTTTTTTAATGCAGCTTAAACAGATAAACAGATGTTTGTACTGTGTGATATGTACTGACATGTAATCCCCCATTAAAATCCAACAGCCCATGTCAGAATGGAAAATGTACACTTATATTTAGCAGTCTCTCTTAATCATAATAAGTAGATGTTACTGTGGGAACACGTTAACGCTCTTTAAAAAAATAATCCCTGTTTCAGCATCCTCGAATGCAGCGATACTCACATTCTGCCAGCATGCCCATCTCCTTGCACTTTCTCAGCCGGCACTCCTGGCATTTCCGGCGCATGTACATGTCCATCTCACAGTTTCCGCCACTCTTGCATTTGTACACAGCGTTTTTGGTGATGCTCCGTCTGAAGAAACCTGAACGTGGTAAAAATAAAAATGTATTAACAACAAGGGACGCCGATATGTTATGATCTTTAATGCGCACATGAGTGTTTGCCAGTTAATCACTGGATTTTTAGGGAATTTGACACAACGTTCCTAAACCCCCAACCTCACCCTGAAAGGTCGTGGTGGATCAATGCACCTGTCTAAGCCTGGTTGTGCTGGAGAGCTTTTTTTTTCCTGTTAAAAAGGAAGTTTTTCCTTCCTACTGTCACCAAGTGCTTGCTCATAGGGCGTCATGTAATTGTTGGGGTTTTTTTTTAATATCGTTATCATCATTGTAATATAAAGCTCCTTGAGGTGATGGATGTTGTAAATTTGCACTATATCAGTTGAACTGAATGTTCAGAATCTACCTTTATACTACATAAGCCTAAAAAAGAGCTGATTAAACAATTATCATTCCTTAAAGTTATTTTTGTGTTATCTTAATCCTTTACAGTGTCATTTAGACTGTGAACATTTAGCAACTCACAGAAAGAAAGGAAAGGCTAGATAAAGGCAACTAAGCGCTATTAAAAATCTTGGAAGCTCGTTTAAATTACAGGAGAAAAAAATCATCCATGACTGAAAATTTCAGGTAATTATCTCATAACTTAGAGTTTGTTCAGAATTTTGACATACCTAACTCAGATTCTTGATTAACCCAACAAGTTCTGACTGGCATTTTTTTTCCACTGGCAGAAACAAAGCTTCCATAATCTGCATCGATAAATTGTGTGAGTTATTAATCTCTGGCTCTCTTCCACAGTGCGTCTTTTGTCCTGTCTCCCTCCCCTTATCCCCAACCAGTCTTGTCAGATGGCTGTCCCTCGCTGAGCTTGGTTCTCCCGGAAGTTTCTTACTGTTAAAAGGAAAATTTTCCTTCCCACTGTCACCAAGCTCTTGTTCAGAGGAGGTCTTCTGATTGTCAGAGTTTTCTCTGTATTGCAATTTAAAGCACTTTGTTGTTGTAGTGATTTGGCGCTATACAAGTAGAACGCAACTGAACTGAGATGAACTGAAGTGAATGGAGAGACGAATGCTGTGGCGTTTGTTACTCTGACTGGCAAAAATGAAAAAAATAAAAGTTATGTTACAGCTTCTGTATCAGGTCGTGACATAAGTTATGTTATTTTAAACATAAATGTCAATGTCATAATGTGTGTGTCATTACTTTTGCTTATGCTGAATACTTTTGTTTTGTTTTTTTGTGGTATTGGTACTTAGAAAGTAAATAAAGGATCAGCTCCAGATTCCAGCTTTCTATAAATGATAGTGTTACTATACTCGGAAAAAACTCGAGTTACTGCTTCACTAACTGTTCTAATTTAGTTGTATATTGAACCCAACTGGGTTTAATCCAAACACCACACTAATAAGTTATACCCGGAGTACTGACATGCACTCACACACACTCACACACATGCTCAGAATAACCGTGGAACAGTTAGCAGACATTCTGACATCATTAAGCACAATGGCATGCAGTAGAGTAACTGAGCTCAGGTTGCTCGTGCATTGTACAGCCGAAAGCTGAGAAGGAACCCAATCTGGTGGCAGTACCAGGTAGACCTGAGCCTATTCTCAGTCAAATGGCAGAACAGGTCAGCAGCCACACTCCTGGCATTGTCCCACTTCACAGTGTGGAATTACACTTATATCGTTTCACCCTGTTGTTTGGCAGGATCCACACCAAATCAACAGCGTCATAAAGACATGGTGACAGCAGAGTGGTGGCCTTCAGCAGTTCATCCCCAAGTTAATGATTTGTAAAAGGGACAAAAAGAGTTGTAAAGTCCTTGCTCTTACTGTAAGATTGCCTAATTTTATTGTTTTTTGTTACCTTAAAATCAGCTTCAAACCCTTCAGTGTATGATTGCGTAGTTAACCTCCTGTCCCTGAAGGGTTATTAAATATGAAATAAATGGTATTTTGTTCTCAGTGTACAGCAGCTGTAAAGGATAACAGATTTAAAAAACAGTTTTTACAGGAACTGAGTAAGGTATCAGGTCCAGCATTGGAGCCGCTTACACAGGCATTTCAAACTGTTGAAGACATCTGGAATTAACAAGATTGTAAAAGCATGTTTTCTCTTCTCCATTTGTTTGAACTGTAGATTTAAACACATCGTCATCATGGTTAGACCCCTTAAAGTCAACAGCTAAACACAATAACATGATATTGGAATTTGGGGCAAATGTCATTCAGCTCGTTATTATGCAGTTGCATCCTAGACACAGTCAGTCTTAGATGAAAACATTGTAAAAGATTTTTTTAAAGTGGAGATATTCTTGTTCGTGTTGCTGTTCTTATGTTTGACACCCCTGCACTAAAGCATTGTGAAGCCACTGCAGAAGTACCTTTACTTCTTTCTAATGGCTAGCAGGGGCAACTCCTCCAGGTACAATAAGAAACATGACTGTATTGAAAAGCTGGTAATTTTATCATTAGTTTATGGTCTCAATTTCAATAGAAGATTAATCAACCACAATATGCTTTAGGATAAGCCAACCTTTTCATTACCAGGTCGCTCCCATATGAGTATGCAGATTCCATCAGTTCCCACCCCTTACTCATGACATCCGGTTTGAGTCACCGAGGCCATGACATTGAAATTGCTCTGCTTGGGCCTTTGTAACAGGACATCGCGGACCAACGCCTCTGTCAGTGCGACCCAGGGTGGCTGTGGCTACAATGTAGCTTGCCATCACCAGTGTGTGAATGTGTGTGTGAATGGGTGGATGACTGGATGTGTAAAGCGCTTTGGGGTCCTTGGGGACTAGTAAAGCCCTATACAAATACAGGCCATTTACCATTTTACCATTTACCAACTGATGATGTCACCCTGGTTACGTATTATTTTTTAGGATGTCTGTGCTTTCACTAAAGTAAAGGATTTTATTGCTTTATTCTCCACTGTATTCAACCCTGTTTTTATTCTATCAAAGTTTTTCATTTCCCACGAGGCCCACCCATGTCATCCTTGATAAGTCACCACATTTAGAAAATCCCTAAATTGCTAGTGTCTTTCAGCTCCACCAATTGCTCTTATCATTACACTGTAAAGAAGACAGGCTATTTAGAGTAACAGTTACAGTTAAGGATCACACTGCTGTTTCCTGTTCTACGTCTCACCTTTACATCCCTCACAAGTGAGAGCATTATAGTGGTATCCAGAGGCCTTGTCTCCACATACAACACACAGTTCCTCCCCTTTAACCCTTCCAGCTTGTGACAGGTGCCGGCTTCTCTTGCACACAGCCGGCACAACAGAGGAGCCCTCCTCCATCTCCGCCTCATAGCTGCCCTCGAGGGGTCCTTTCCTCAGTTCATATATCCCTGTGTGTGAATACCATTCGTCTCCATTATACTGTGGGTAGTAGTTCTGAGTGGAATAGTATGGAGTGGAAGACACTGTTGGCTCCATGAATTGATACTGCATGCTGGGATAGCTGGTGAAGGGTAAGATGTCAGGATCCTGCAGGAGAGGGCTGCCTTGATCTGTGAGGATATCTAAGAGAAGAAGAGAAATGACATGTGGCTTCATCTTAGTCAAATGTAATCAGAGACGCAGTACAGTTGTTGCAGTTTTAATATGAACAAGTTACTTGAATAATAAAGTTCCTTGAAAAGCTAAAGTGTCAAAGTGTTAAAATATTAAAAGAAAAGCTTTGCAACGGTTGACTCCTGCCTTTAAACTAGCTTTACTAAAGGCAAGGTAAAAAAAAATTCCAACCATAGAGAATTAGTAGACTCTTACATGACAGTAACACCGGGACGACCAACAGATTACATGACAAAAGATAAGCACAGACACGGAGGACAATCAGGGGACGTGAACAGATTGAGATAATCAGCCAGGAGAGGGAAGTAGAAGCAGACACATGATACAAGAGGCAACTATTGTAAAAAAAAATAATACAATACAATAAAACAGGAAGTAGGAACAACACCTAAGGAGAGAAACACAGACACATAAGGCCATTTACCATAAATAAATTTGACACAGAGGAACTGGCACGGGAGAGTAAACAGAAAATACTGAGGCAACAACGTAACTAAATAAGTTAGGGAGCGGATGAAGAACTGAAGGCTCAAAATACAAAAGTATATACATCAAGATAAAGCTACAAGCTAAAATCCAAGAAAAGAATATCAAATAAACCGTTGTATAGAAATCCAAAAATCAAAACTCTGCTTCCAAGAATTGTAAACCGTGACGGTTAAACAAAGTTGAAGGTTTAACTACTTTCTTATAACTATAAACTATAAACCCATAAATGATTAACAACCTGCTTACACGGAGGACATTGTGGCCTTTAGAATTAGATTTAACAGCACAATGAACAAAATTACACATTTGCAAGTGATATCCAGTCGAAGAATGTTAACAGGATCGTACTTTTGGTTCATTATTACATACTGATGAATTTTATAACCTTCATATACAACTTATCAGGGATGACTATTGACAAGACAACACAATGCAATCATCTCTTGACTAAAGTGACTGTGAAATGTTAAATTTTGCTTTTAAAGCCATCAGACCACCTAATACTAGCAGAATATCAGTATAGTATAATGTAACACTGACCTCTTGAAGACTTAGTCTGGACCATGGCCATTTCCGTGAGCCCAAACACACAGATTATTTTGAAACTTTGCTCTCTGATCCACACTGTCCAGCTGTGCTCTGTTCAAGTCTATCTTTCCTTTTATTAACCAAAACAGTCATCTTCAATTTCTTCCTTTCGATCGGCGTGCTTTTCCCAAAAGATCTGAGTACAGTACCTACTGTAGCAACTTGGCACTTGCTTGAGTAATCCCAGAAAGAGCAAAGGTTGTCACAGCTACTTATTAACCACATAGTCACATTTCTTCACACTGCAAGTAGCCAGCTGATATCAGAAGTCATTTCCAGATGTGGACACAGGTACAAGCTGACTGCTACTGTTCAGTGAGCTTGAATTTGTGGACAGGTCAGATGGTCATGCAATTGTTCGGAGGAATTTGAGCATCCATAAATGCTTTACAGGTGCTGGATGAGAGTCACCTATTGTTAGTTGATATTTTCATTCAAAATTAAGATCTGATTTCTAAAGTAGGCGATAGCAGATGTGCAGAGTGTACTTTTTACTTTAAAAAATAATTTCGTTCAGCTTGTTAGTGGAAGATTGGCGTTCTGCTGCCACTCACTCAGAGTTGTTACAGACCCTTAGTCACTGGCAGATAACTGACTATTGTGACAGAAAAATGCCACAAAGTAGCCTCAAACTATTAAACGTATCTGTTTGTTTACAGGTCACTGTGAATTAGTAATAAATCATCAATAAATTATATCTTTACAAAAGGTCTAATATTCAGTTCTTGCTGAAACCCTGACTAGTGGCTGAGAGCTTTGCTTTGGTTAAATCAGTTCACTGATACTCATGGTTGTGTTTGTACTGTCTGCGCTCATGGCTCCTTCATCTGTACATAAAAACCTGTACAGAAACTTCTGTTCTAAAAATGTGCTAAAGAGTAGGGTGAAGGTTAAGGCTAAGACTGGGTTTTTATGGTGCATGCATGACTCATCTATTAATGTGTATTTACTCCAACGTTGTCTTTACTAGAACTTAGCTTGAGTGATATCCTACTATTTCTCTTGTTACTTAGCACTAATTAGCAGGGATCCCCATCTTTAAACTGCACTCAATGAGTCTGTCAATGCAGCCTGCCAATTAATCTTTCGACTGTTAGAACTGGAATTCAGCACTGCCCTCCTCTCATACAAACTTGATCACTTGTAGCTCCTAAAATCAAACCTGCAACAATTTCAAGCTTCAAAATAGTTCACAGACCCATGCATGGGTGATGCCAGGGTGGCTACAGCCATCTTTTATATATGGTTTCTTGTTTTATTGTTCTAAACACTAGTACAAGTTAAATGCAGCGATGATTTCCCCATGCTTGTACTGATTATAATTGCAAAGAATGTTGTCACTTGCTCAGTTTTGATTTTGTCTTTCTGTAAACTTACCATAAAAGTGGGAACTCTCTAAGATGGAGAATTCATCGTTGGGTGGGAGCTGCAGTGGTCCCACCACATTGATGTCGGGGCCCATCCACTCATTCATTCAGGAGCGTTGTCTGTCACCGCCTCAGAAAACACAGGTTGGACTGGGCTGGAAAGCAGTCACACGCTTTGAATTTGGGGAGCTCTGTAACAAGCATGAAAAAGTGATTTGTCAACCGAGATGAAGCAACGCAAGTCCCTTAGACGTCTGCGCCCCGCTGGAATTAAAAATCATCTTGGGAGTCTCCACATCATTGCACCTGACAGGTCTCTCCCACGCTGGGAAGAGATGTTCGGTGCTTCCCTACAGAGAGGTGGAGGATGAAGGTCAGATGACCAGACTGCCGCAGGAAGACCAAGTCATGGAAAGAGGTCTGTTCTTTCTTTCTGTTATTGCCTGTCCCGTTACAGATTCATGTAAGACTGTGTCATTAGTATGACAAGATCATTGTCTCTGTTAATTTGATTTCACTGAACATATATGGAGGCCTCACCTGTTAGCAAACAGCACTGCTTATTAAATCTTATATTAAAATCTGGACAGCTGAGGAGATTGAAAGCATCGCGTACAATATCTTAATACCAGTTCTCAAATGTGTCAGAGGGCTTTCTGCTGCTAGGGACAAAATATGTTCCCATGTGAGACATGACTTTTATAGACCTCACCAGCCACATTTTTAATTAACTAGGTGTAATTTCCCTTGAGTCTAAAGCTACCCACAAGAATTCAGAAACCCGCTGCCCACACTTCAACCAAATCTTCAAACAATGCCACACCACAGCCTTAATAATAAGTCACCAGTAAATTAGAAATATGTTCGTTCTCAATCTCACAATTCTTACCTTCTCTTTGGCAGCTGAGGTTGAGTTCCTTCTTGCTGAATTTTTCCTTCCTGTGACTTTTTCTTTTCTTTTTCTTTTTTTGGTTTGGGAGGGGGGAATATCCACGCTGTGAGCTACAACTCCATCAATACTTTCTAATGAACATTAAGCTGCTGGTGCCTGGACATCATTGAGACCATGTGTGACTAAGTTGGGGTCAGGGAGAAATGGAGGGTGGTTATTAATTAACCCTCCTCCCTATCCAAGCCAAATCCCTCTTTATCTGAATAAGACAACAGGCTACCGCATGAATTCCCACCCACATACACAAACATCACACACATGGAGCCATATCCAGTCATTAGCATGACACAAAAACTGGTATGAGTGGGAGCCCGCCGAGTATAAGCCATGTCTGTTAAAATCATCTAACAGTTCACTTGTAATAATGAAAGCCGGGGAGAGCTGTGGATTTTGAGCGATATGTTTGTTTTCCTTTACAATATTTTCATGAGTGCAAAAAAAATTGAGGTATAATGGAAAGCTTCTGAAAGCAAATGTGTGGCAATAGCTCCTATCTGTCCTTGAACTGATTCTACCCATTTTATCATGTCATTGGAGTATGCAGTACCAGTCTACACCAGATTTGTTTGTTCTGGCACTCCGCAGACCCCAGGGTACCTGCCCTATTGTCTGTGTACATTCTAAGACGAGCATGCACACTGGAAAATGTTCTTCTCTTTATAATTCTTAGTTTTCCCCAAAACAAGTTTAATCATTGATGGGTTGTTGCTCCATCCAAAGAGGCCCTTCTGAGTCAACAGACAGTCTCTTTGAAATAAACAGAACCTTTGCCATTGGCTGCTGACTGTTTGTGGACTATCTGCTCTGTGTTTAAGAGCATGTGAAGAATGAGCCAGCAGCTATGACTGTAAATGGCTGGAAACAACTCCACTAAACATAAGTTGCATATGTCTGTAATATTCAGAGCTCTCATAAGTATGGGCAATGTTACTTTAAAATGATTAAAGTTTATAATATGCCAACAGATATTAGGCTTTGTCATTCCTTATGGTGTTTTGTTCTTTATTCCAGATGGACTGTGTCATTATGGCTGGCATGCAATAATGTAACAGAGGCACACCTTGGTGTCATACGTGACATAACAGGCCGCATATTCACCAGCGCTTTGGATTCCTGTACAGCTGACCAGCAACAAAGTCCACAGTCCTTGAAATGTCTTATCACCATGTGAAAGGTAATAATCATTGGACTTTTTGAAGGCAAATCACACATAGCATTAATTAAGTCTTATAAAAGAGGGAATAGCTCATACAAGAGAGGCTAACATGCTGGCAATGAACATCCTGTCCAGCAATTATGTTTGGGGGTGTAAATAAAGCAAGCGGAGAGATAAGACAAAGGATGTTTACAGTGAGATGGAACGCAGACCCATCTTAGGGATACTCAAAAATGTCTCATTTGAGCAAGCTGACATAAACGAGCACCATAAGGAACAGCATATTCTGTCAAAAAATGAGAATCAAAATACAGAGACAGCACACTTTGCTAATGATAATAATTAAAGAATAATTAGTCAAGGAGCTGGGTAGACACAAATTGAACTAAACCTAACGATATAGAGTTAACATGAAGTTAAAAGAGGCGAAAATATGTTTGGGTATTATCTACTATCAGCACTTCCAAGTAGTCTGTTGACTTTAGTGATTACATCACTTTCCCTCGAGTGCCACTACCAGTTGTGTTGTGATTAAAATGTAAAATATTTTTAGTTTCAAGTCCCTCTCTGGTTAATTTGTGATTCATTACATTTTTAAAGTGTTTTAGGTTTTAGTAAAAAGAAAAAACAAACAAACAAACAATGTTAAAATGCCTAGATTTATTAAAAACAAACATACTGACAGTATGCTTTGTTTTGTTTTAATTTAATCTGAAATTAAATTCAAGTAGCTAAATTTGATTCCTTGTCTGTGTTTGCAGTGTTATTGTGTTTTAATGCAATTATCTGAGAAAGGGAAAGACTTTCCATGACATCAAGTGACTAAGGGTAGAAAAACAGCTGGCATTTCCAGGCAAGCAATTGAAACTGCCTTCATTCTTATAACTATCTTATCATAATGATGAATATTGTTGATTTACCTACTATATTTAGCACCTTGGAATGTCTGTTGTTGTGAGTTGACACTATATAAATTGGACTAAATTTAACTGAATTAAATTGACCTGATAGTAAATAAATTAGAGAGTTACCTAGGGAACCTGGAATGACTGCCAGCTTCCAGCGTGTACGAAAGGTTAGCTTGTAGTAATTAGCAGGTACCACTACAGCTAGGTAGCATTAACTGTTAACTTAGCTCTCCACCCTTTTGTGTAAACACATACTTCTGGTTTTGTCACAGCCAAGCTAAAGGTTTGAAAAGTTGTCTACAGGCCAATGGGTGATCTCATATTAGCTATGCCCATTTCTTTTTATATATACAATGCACTGTCAACATTTAGCTAGCTTGGCTAATCATCCTTATAGACTGTATTACCAGTATGTTGGCTAGGTTGTTCAACATTTTTATGTTTAGCATGAATGCATGCAAGTATCATGAAATGTTAAAGAAATTCATGCTATTTTTGCATATACAGTAATCTCAACACTGAATAGAAATGTAGTTTATTGCATGTCAGGTCTGTTTGTGTGTGAATGACGTGTATTCTCTCAAACAATAAGATAATCATTTACTATACAAAACAGGGTTTTTCGTTTAGGAGCAATAATGACGAACAGCAAGTGCAAATTTTCCATATAGTTTTAGGATTAAAGTGAATTCTTACTGCACATTGTTAGAAACAAACTTGGGTCTCCATTTATCAAACACTGAGAAACTGCAAAATGCCAAAACATCAGAAGAACAAAGTCACGAAACTGAACTCACCACCTATTTTGTCCCATTATGAGCTCAGAGCTTCATAAATAATGAAGCTGATATATTAGTGCATCACAAACAGATGGTGAACTAAGACTGTTTCAGACAAAGAGAGCGAGTAAAGCGGTGACACGGTGCAGTCATTCAGCAACAGCAAATACATACAAGCAACAAAAACAGTGAGACTCGGTACATTAACTATGATCTTCTGTCAAACCCATCGATACATTCTGGCAGTGCACCTCTTTTCGCATTGCATAGCTGACACAAAACCCTTCACATATCAAAGTAAACTACATAAGCTGAGTCATGGTTTGCACAGATGGATTTGCAAGGAAAGGATCGGGACAGGGTGCAGGAGGGATAGAAGCTGATATGTGTATTTAATGTTCCTTTAACACAGCACTAGTTGAGCCATTGGTTTTGATCTGTGGTTTCTATGGTTTACTAAGCTTATTACTTTATAATACATGTCATGACAGAGTCACTTTATCAGCAGATATTTATTGATGGTTCATTTTGTGTCAGCTGGTTTGAGATTTAAAAATCTAAAAAGTTTTAGTTTAGCAGTTTGCAAATTTCTTTTTAAATGAATCTTCATATATCACAGTTGAATGGATGTGCTGACCAAGGATGAAAAAAAAGAGGATGGTGTCTTGAGGTACATATGATGCTGCTGCTTCTGACACAGATCAGTTTTGTAAAATTTAAGTCCTTTGTCCCTCGTGCCGTCTCACTGGTACCGCTCCTGGTAGTCCCCGTTCTCATAATGCTCCTCCTCCTCTTGCATGGTAACTCCTCTCTTCTTTTTCCAGCCCTGTTTTCGACCGGACGAATTGTCTGTTGTTCCATAAGTCTTTTTGGGAGCCACCATGTTCTCGCAAGTGAGCTCTGACTCCTCAGCCAGCTCGTCCTCATCAATAATGCCACATTTATCCTCACTTGTGCTCTCAGGGTTGGCCCATTCCTGCTGCTCTCCTGAAGCGAAGATAGCGTAAAAGATGACGCCTGAGTAATGCACCATGGCTGCAATAATAAAGACATTCTGCCACTCCAGACGAGTCTGTAGGGAGATGAAGAGAGTCAATGAATTTTCTGTCAGAGGAAGAATTACTGATATTTCACTGATGTACCACTGAGGTAATGCTGTAAATCAGCTCCCTTACTCATGGCACTGAAAGTCCTACAGTTGCAATGTGTATAATAAATTTAACATTGCCATAAATTTTTAACATCCTTTGATAGGTGCAAGATTACATACAGCAATTCAATGAGCCACAAAACACTCATTCCTCATATCATTTATATACGAAATGGGAAGAAACATGTCAGTGCGTCTTGTAATGTTCTGTGTATATATTTTAGAATAGGGGACAAAGAAAAACAAAAACTATATTGTTATAGGAGGGAAAAATACCTTGTGTTTAGTCATAGCGCCAACAATTAGCGGGCACACCATTCCAGACAGCGTTCCCACCCCATTGGAAATACCCATCAGGATGCTGGCGTAGCGAGGAGCAATATCCAGATGATTGACATTGAAACCTGACAAGACAGTGCACACAGTGTAAACATACTTATAACACAAATTTTCATTTTTACGGCATTTGAATACTTTGTGTGCCTAAACCTCCTTCAGACTCACATTATTGGTCAAAAAACACAAATCTTTAGAGCTTTATTTTGACCCCAGCCATAAATCTCTAAGGTTTATCGTGCATGCTTGTTTTGTTTTACTGCTATGAAATTGACCATATCTGTTAACAGATATGATCACAAGGTAAAAACAATACCAGCTTTCCTGCTGTGGCTGGTAAAGATGTAATAACTTTTTGAAAGGTCTTTCAGAATCTAGAAAAAGCAATATAAAACACAAGACAAATAAAGATCTGCAACATCCTGCACACCTTTGTGCACCTTTATCATTTATGCAGTCAAGCTCAAAGTCTTAAATTAAAAGCAAAACACTAAACGTCAAATACCTGAGATGGCAAATCCACTAAAGCCTACAGCCAACACAAGGAAGGAGATGGCGACACCTCGAGTGTGAGAAAACCCGACCACCAACAGTAGCGTAGCCTCCATACCGAACCCTGTGAGAAAAAGTTCTTTATTAATTAATCACATTATGTACTAGACAACACCAGGTCTTTGTAAGAAATGTATCCCCAGCTTCCCAACCTACTGACCTAATGGAAAAAATGGGAATGCTAGAGGGAATGCCAGTGACACCATTCAAGTAGATATACTGGAAAATATAGAAACATGTTC